AATTTTTTTTTACTAATTGACAAAGATCTTATAAAACTTTAGCCTTCATTCAAGTGTTTAACACGAGCGGTCAATAATGTTGCACTTTCACTAGAAGGTTCTGAAGCTTCTCTACTGCCGGTTATAGTATCTAAGTCTTTATATCACAATATATTGATATTATCTGGCTATGAATATAATATTCCACATTAGCAATAGGTCACATATAGCTAGTAAATTAAGAATTTTCTTTATTACAACTTTATACCATTTTAACTGGCAGGAATCACAGATTTCTTTGTTTCAGTCACTCATTAGTTACCGGTATTTTCATTGCATTTAATTGACTTGCATTTACTTCTCGCAATTTTAGTGTTTTTTTTTCTTGCATGTTTTTTTAATTTAAAAGAGTTAAAACAAGTATCAATACGAATACTTTGGCATTGTAAGCTTTCGGACCATTTTGCAGGCATTGTTTTGTTTTTGTTCACTCATTTCTGATAGGTGCGTTAATCTATAAACACAGGACTCCATTGGGGTGAAATGTTACAGTAACTATGCAACAAACATAAAAGTATTAGTGTGCACAGTAAAGGTAAATAAGTTTACTACTGATGATTGTAACAAAAACTGCGACCATATGGAAGAGATAATAAACACAAAACACTTTAAACCACTTAATTGAAAAAATCATTGAATATTACGAGGTCATTTCATTGCATACATTGGTGAGAAACTGGGCCCAAGGTCTAATTGCTGCAACAGCTGAGGCAAAGGATGAATTAAGCCTTTGAACGAGTCATAAAAACTTAGTGTGATGACCAACAGCAGACGCTTGGTGGTGGAGAAATTCAAATTTAGAAGCGAAGATTTTTTTCTCATCAAACGACTTTTGTTATTTCAATAAAAATTACATTATACTCCATTTCTACACACTACATACTATATATTAAACTATAGTCCAGAGAACAACGTGTACTTTCCAACTTGGGACGCTGACATCAAGTACCGTACTAGTTTGTTAGTTTGTAACAAATGTACCATTGTAACAATATAAAATTGTTTATAAATTTTTTAAGACTTATTTTCTTCTTAAAATTCACTTTTGTACCTTCAAATTGAAGTTAAAAGTTTTCTCTAGCTTGAAATGAATCAGAGTTATAGATTTTGGAAAATGAGTCTTCAAACAAAAATTAGCAAAATTTCTTGAACAAGTGTCTCTTTTTTTTACGTAGAACCCGTAAAATCAGTTTCAGCCAAATTAAAAATGGGTCGGTCATTTTTTGTTTAATTTTGTACGATTTTGGAAAAAATAACCCATGTATGACACACACACGTATATATACATTTCATGGTCCGTGAAGATCGGTAGAGTCTCCGTCAGGTTGTTCAAAAGTAATGTGGCAGGTAGTGGGGGGGTCAAAAACAAATGCGTGCACGAGGTAGTAGGGTGTGTACAGGGGGTTTAAAGGTGGTTTGGACAAGGATTGAGATGTGGTAAAATGAGGGAGAAAATTACGAAATTTTACCTTATTACGTAGGGATCTTCGGGTAAGTGGGTATCTGTGAGGGACTGTATGATGTTGTGTTGAATGCCCCACACAGTTAACTATGTAATATAAGAAGATTTATACTTATATATGTATACATATGTTAGAAACCTTGAAGTAAAAGTCTTTGTTTAACTTTATTAAAACACAAATGATAAGATAGTTTTGAAAATCTGATTACCATGACTTCTTAAAAAATAACAAACCGCGTTATGCAATACAAATTTAATATTTTTTATTGAATTTAAAAGAAATAATTGAGTTATAAAAAAGTTAAAGCGATAAATCATGTGTTGTGTCTAATAACTATAAAAAAAAAACTTAAAAACTAAAAATAAGTATATTGTTAGGTTATAACATACTTGAAAACACAATTGNACTTCATAAAAACTGAGATGCGAAACTTTTACTTTGTAACACAGTCAATTTTTATTAAATTATAAACTTTGGAACTAAACAGAGCTCTTTCAGGTGCTTATTCTACAACAGAAGATTTTTTAGCGTTAATTTGCCCTTAAGCAATAGGTCCTTATTCATGGAATATGAAAATTTATGTGGTTTTTGTGCACCTTACTTGATAAAAAAATTGTGAAAGTTATATATTTTATTTATCCTTATGAATTCAAAAGAAAGTTTAATTAAACATACAACAAATGACTAATATTAAACATATCTTCATAAATAGTGAAAAAGTCAAACATAACATATCTTTTAAACTGTACATGTTATTGTACCAAATTTTAATGAGTCATTCATATAATTCTCGTGAACAAACAAACGTTATAGTTATTTCTGTTGAATACAAAAGTGTTATGCAAGTAAAAAAACTTTCACTGTCGTTAAATATTATACGAAATTTACGTTTTTAAAAAAGTTTCATAAATAGGGTCATAATTATGGAACAATAGATACAATATTTCATAATTATGTTCATTATGGTCTTATAATCTTTTTATGAAACAAAATAATTCAACAATTAAGAACCATATGTAATAATTAGAATAATAATGGTTAATTTATAGAGCACTTGCATAAACCAAAATTCTACCATTAAAGTTCACAATTAAGAAAAAAATTTAAAGAAACAAGTATGATGAGATTTATGATCATAATACGGACATTTACCTTAGGGAGAGAGTGCTAATAAGCTTGGGTTGAATAACATGACTAGTAGGCTTGGGCTTAAAAATAACTTGAGCTATACAATATTGAAAGGTATGTATACATTCATCAGATGGGCTTTGACCCTTTGTGTTCTCCACACACTAGCCCCCAGGAATAATACTTCCAAATAAACTCGTTAAATTAAAATTTACTTACAAAGTTCTTAATATATTTACGTATTATAATACTAGATAATAGACTTAATATTTTTAAAACTAATTTTACAAAATTTTTTAATTCATTTTTTGAACATTAAAATTAAAGACGATGTTTGAAGACAAGCGACATTGAACCACAGCTTCCACAAATCAGGAGGAAAAGCTCTGCGAGTTTTAACTTACTAATCAAGTCGTTCGTCCTAATAGAAAATTAACATGAGTTACGCAGTAAGATTAAGTTGAGACTCTCTGTGTGCACGGTTCCCTAAGTTGGTTTGCTTATAAATAAAAATTAGGAAAGTTTTGATGAGATATTTTTGAAAAAAATATGTTTAATAAAATTACTATTTACTAATTAAACAAAACTGTTACAAATACATTCAAGTACATTAATAATAACAAAATTATAAGTATGCTTCTTAAAATTTGAATAGTATTATAGGTTTACCCTTTTAAGTTGGAGAATCACGAAAATTGTATGGAGCTCAATATATTAAGACACTTTCCTCTCCCAAAATTAGCTGCAACGATAGTTACAGCTTTTTTAAACAATAAATAATGCTAGGTCATAGAAAATCAATAATTATTTTGGATCTCTAAAATTCCTACCATGAAATATTATTCTTCTATTGAAAGAATTTTTCTTTTATATAAATAAATTGCGTAAGAATTAAGTACTATGGGATGTAAGTTGGTATATTAATAAAATTAGTGAATATCGTAGATCCTTTCGTGTTGGTAAATTTATTTGTGCATATGTGTGTGTGCAATGATATTGCACCTACACATTCATACGCACTTTTTTCTATGCCAAGCAAGTTTCACCTTCTCTTGAAATTCATAGTTGGTGGCTCCGTTATACAGCGTGGAGTGCTTTTAAACTTACGTATAGGAGAAAGAGGAAAATATTGTTTCGTCCTCTATTGCTAGCTAGAAGCTGGAATTAATCAGTGTGGTATGCTAGCGATCTAATCACAGACGAACGTGACTAACACTTACACTAATAAGTATTATTATAATGCTGAAAAAATGGACATAGTAGGTTGAGCAATGGCACTGTCAGCCACGCAGATTGGTATTTTAGTAAAAATCCAATTCCAAAGTTAAAATAGAAATATTAACATCTTTTAAAACCACTCAAAAATGATTTAATACTAAAGGATGTAGGTTGGTATATTAATAAAATCAGTGAATATCGTGGATCCTTTCGACCTGCTAATATTAGTTTTGCGTTTCGGTGTATACGCACTTTTCTTCATGCAAGCAAGTAGAGACTTTTGTAGAAGTTCATACTTGGTGACTCTATTATAGAACGTAGAATGCTGTCAATCTTAGGAATAGGAGAAAAAAAAAATTTGGTCTGCTTCCTTTTTTTTCTATTCCTAAGTTTGAAAGGACTCTGCACTCCATAATAGAGTCATTAAGTACAAATTTCAATAGAAAATTTAATTGCTTGGCATGGAAATAAGTGCGTATGCATGTGCGGATGCAATATAATTGTACACATTGATTTACTTCATACGTCGACCTACATACCTTATAATTCAATCATTATCAAGCGGTTCGGAAGAGCACTATTGATATATTAACTTTAGAATTAGATCTTCACTAATATGCCGATCGAGGTGGCTGACTGTAACCCTTTCCAACCTACTATGTCAATCTTTCCGGCGTTAGTAATAATAATACGTATCACTGCAAGTGTTGGCTTTGTTCATCAATGGCTAGATCGATAGCAAGGAACACTAATAAATTCCAGCTTCTAGCTATCGATTGAGGACGAAACAATATTTTCCTCTTTCTTCTATACTTAAGTTTGAAAGCACTCCACGCTCTATAACAGAGTCACCAAGTATGAATTTCAACAGATGGTTGAACATGCTTGGTATAGAGAAAAGTGCGTATGCGTGAATGGCTGTAATATAGTTGTACGCACTCGCGTAAAAATAAAATAACCCGCTCAAAAAGATCAACAGTGTTCACTAATTTTATTCATACACTAACCTACACCCACTAGTATTCTGTAACTCTTTCTATATTCTTGCAAGTATAAACATAGATGATTCTTTGATTATCTAATCCATTACCAAATCATGATTAAGAGCTGCTTCTTTGTCAAAAATAATTCAATAATGTTTTTTTCTTGCAGGTGTCGAAGGTTTAAACCTGTCACACATCGAGCTACAGTCAACAAAGATACGTGAGATTTGGCATCAAAATAGTATCCGTACAGTAACATCATCCTGAACTAATAAAATGTAAAATAATTACTCTTAAATAATTATCGACGTAATTTATCAAAGCCAAAAACGTATTGTGTGATGCCTTTTCTAGGGTTAAAGTTGGATGGCCAGATATCGATATATGCTGAAAGAAATGATTAATTGAAATGAGACGGTATAAGGTCAAAACTAGTAAAAAGTCACTAAAAATTTTAAGAGCAACATCTTTAGATATTTTATAATTGTGTTAGATATTTAAGAAATAAAAACCTGTAGAAAAATAAAATAATACAACAATTTTTGTGGTGATAATTTTTTATGGAATTGTGGTATTTACAAAACTTAAAAATTTGTGTTGTCAAAACAAGATAAAAAAGTACAAATCAAAAAAAATAAAAAATGTCTTAAAATATAAGATAAAGTTCTAATTCAAAAAAATCAGACGTATTGCAGGTTTTAGTCTAGTTACGGATATGTACTCTATACAGTTGCAAAGTTTCAAGATGTCGAGTGATCACAAAAATGTAGGGTTCAAATTTTTATTTGCTATTAAGTATGTGAAGAGCAAAAAACGGACACCTGTTCTACTACAATGGAAAGGTACTAACAATATCGATGGTAACTTGAAATTTTAGATGTGAAAAAAAATTGATGTAGAAGTTGTCTTGTAAAACTTATGACTGAGGACTATATTTTTGATACAACACAGATGTTTGCAACTTTGTAGTTTTGATTGTGCTTATTTTTACGTAAAAAAAAAAATTTTATTAGACTTCATAAAAACTGAGATGCGAAACTTTTACTTTGTAACACAGTCAATTTTTATTAAATTATAAACTTTGGAACTAAACAGAGCTCTTTCAGGTGCTTATTCTACAACAGAAGATTTTTTAGCGTTAATTTGCCCTTAAGCAATCGATAAAGTTAGCAAGAATACCCATGCCAACTGCGGCCATTGCGTCCATGCAGCCGGAATCGCACTGGACAAAAGCCAGTGCCAAAAAAGCTTTTGCCAAGCTCTAGAGTTCTTTATTTCACAATTGATTACTTTTCAATAAATATACATGTAAAGGTTTGCTGTGACCTATTTATATGTAATTTCTTCTCAGCTTTACGCGTGTGTTCTTCCTTTCATCGTACTCGGTCTGTAACGACCTAAAATACACTTTTTTGTACCCTACTAATTTATAATGATAATTATTATTATAATGATAAAGCTTAGTAAAAGAGCTTAAGATGGTTGATTGTAAAAAAAAGTTGCTGATACTACATGCAGATAAGATGCAATTTAGAAAATTGCACTTGTTTATACATGATAAAAAAAATTTGTGAAGAGTGAGAGTACATTTTATAGGTATTGTTAGGAATAAGTAATTAGATTTCTAACTGAAAATTCTGTATTAATTACAACAAGTTTGGATAAGACTGTGATTAATAATTGAGGTTGGCCATGGCATTACCACTCAGTGACTAAGTTCAAGCAATATTTCAACATGTCAGCAAATAATGCTTGAGTTTACTTTAAATAGGTCACTAAGCAAGAAACTAAGCGGTACTGTATGAAATTCTATGACCTGCTGTCCTCATCACTGGCTGTGATTCACTGTGATGATTATTGCAAGTGTGTGGTGCGGCAAAAGACCAAATCTATGCTAAAAAATTTTGTTGTAGACTCAAAGTTATGTTTGAATGGGCAAGATTAAGTGTTGATTGGGCAAGTTTGGCACAAAGTACTGAATCTTCAGTCCATAACTTATCCAAAATACGGTCCTTAGGTAAAAAGGAAAAAAGTTCCTGTTTTTCATCTACAAATCTGAATTTCAAGTTATTAGTAGTACGTACTGATTTCAGAATAATACGTACTCATTTACTGCTAGCAACACCCTTAACAGTGAATAAGAACTAGAATTTTATAATTTTAAACTAGTTTTCCATCTCTAAATTTTGTCACTGGACTAGGTAAACATTAATTGTAGTAATATGTATAATACGTTTTTCAAGTTTATAACTGCAACTATATTTTTTTGAGTTTCGTAAATTTCTCATGTCCATGTAAAGTTGTCACCTAAACAACTAAGAATTTTGTATAAATTACTCTTTAAGATATTAATTGCAAGCCAAATAAATACTGTTTTTAAAGTAATATTTCCATGAAAAGTGATGCTGCATATTTTTCTCGATATCGTGAATTTAAGATTTTAGTGTTAATATTCTTTAACTGATTACAAATCATGTTGTACCTCACTTGAATCTACGACGATACTTAAAACTTTTGGTCTCCTCTGCCCTTCGACTATTAATAAAATGTAAGTAAATCTTTTATACCTAAGGTAATCAATTAAAAAAATTTACAAACTAACAAAAATATTTCAAAAAAAATTTTCTTTTTTAATGTAATTTTATTATGAAAGCTGCGTGAATAATGAGCTTTAAAAACATGATTCATAAAATACTGATGATATATTTTTTATATTTTAGTTATTTTAATTGTGATTTTTATTTAATGTTGATATTAAAACTACTTGAAGATAAGCCTGTTAGTCTTAAGTGGCAAACTTAAAATAGGCGTACAAACATTAGTTTTAGTATAAAACTTTTACAAATTTTAAGCATTAAAATTTTCATCTATTGTTTTTTTATTTGCAGTGCCAATATTTACTCTATTAAATTACATGTAAAACCGATTACTTTGAAAGCTTCTGTTG